GATGGGCGGCGGGGCGGCCGCGGGCCCTCGGCGAACGTGAGTCAGCAAAGGAGCGGGGCAGGGCAGGGCCGGAGCCCGCAGTGCCGGCGGGGCCCGGGGCGGCGGCCGCGGGTGCACCGAGCGCGCCGGTCTCAGCGCGCGCTGGAGCAGCTGCCTTTGCAGGCGGGGGAGCCGTTGCTTCGGAGCGGGGTCCTTCCTGCAACCCCGTGTCCGGAGCGGACACTGCCGCTCCCCCGCTCGCTCCCGTCACGCTCAAAGGCTCCTTTCAGTGAGTCATTTTCTCTCTCGCTGTCCCCCTCTCCAAGGAAAATGGTGACAGCGCTGCACAGAGAGCGTTCACCATGGAAACGCCTGAAAGGAGGGAGAATCCCCCCGGCTCCTCCCAGCTTCCCGCCGTAGCCGAGCGGAGAAGATGGCTCTCAAGCTCCAGCACGAGCTCCGGCCAGGAGCCCCCCGGAGCCCGGTGTGCCCGGGGGTGGGCGGCACAGGGGCCATGGGGCACCTACTGCTTCCCACTGGAATGTAGGGATTCCCGCACCCTGTTGTCTTTCCCAAGGGCATGCGCTGAGGTGGTGAGGCTGGACAGGCAGCACCTGTCCCATCCATCCCATCGCATGCTGTCCAACTTGGGCTCCCAGGATGAGCTCAGAGAGGGGCATCCAGCTGGATGTGGATGGGACCAAGGGATGCTGTGGGGCTGGGATAACGCCCCTGTGGGAAGGAGGTTCTGCCGGGTGTCATCCCTGTGGCCACCCTGGCTCTAGGTCCATCTGCAGCTTGGGCACCCAGTGTCCTGTGGGTTCCTTGCTTGTTCCAGCCACAGTCGTGCTGCTCGTGCCGAGAGGCTCTGTGCGGAACAGCCATGGGGCAGCTGCAGCACTGGGACAAGGGCGCGTGGCAGCCCGGGGTGCGGGAACCTGCCGCGGGTCCCGCTGCTGGCCCTGACACCCGCGTGTCCCGCAGACGGCACCCCGCTCAGCGAGCTCTCCTGGTCCTCCTCGCTGGCCGTCGTGGCCGTCTCCTTCTCCGGCCTCTTCACCTTCATCTTCCTCATGCTGGCCTGCCTGTGCTGCAAGAAGGGCGACATCGGCTTCAAGGTGAGCGAGGGGCTGGGCCGGGCTCAGTGACACCCACGGGGTGCCCAGCACTGCTCTGTGTGCGGGACGGCGCATCCTGACCCCAGCCGGGCTCAGCATCATCGCAGGCCGTATCCTCATGCCAGCTGCTCTCCCTGCTCTGCCGGGACCTTGGTGCTGCAGGGCCCAGCATCACTGCAGGCCGTATCCCACCCCAGCTCCCTGCAGGCCGTGTCCTCAGCCCGGCTAAGGGAGCCGAATGCCGCCGGCCTCGGCCTCGAGAGCGCGGGGCCAAGCTAGGGCAGGGCCGTGGTTCCCACCCGGCGCCCCCGGGGGTGGGAGGCTCCCTGACCTCACAGGCACAGAATGTGCCGCAGAAACAGTTTTTCCCTAATTGCTGGGATTTTTGTGGAGGCCGGCGGCGCCCGCGGGGGGGCCGGCAAGCGCCCGCTCGCCCCCGCCGGGGTTATATAGCCCGGGGTCTGTCGGCGGCCCGCGGCGCCCTGCACCATGCGGCAGCGCCGGGGCCAGGGCCATGCTCAGCCTCTGCTACCTGCTGGCGGAGGCGGCGGCGGCGGCGGGGGGCCGGGCGCCCGCGCGCTGCCCTCGCGCTCTGCCCCCCGCCCCGGCGCAGGAGTTTGACAACGCCGACGGGGACGACTACGGCGGCGACTTCTCGGCGCAGGGCTCGCCGGCCGCGCAGCATGGCCCCGAGGTCTACGTGCTGCCCCTCACCGAGGTCTCGCTGCCCATGGCCAAGCAGCCGGGGCGCTCCGGTAAGCAGCGACGGTGGCCGCGCTCGGGGCTGCTCCAGGGCCCCGCGGGCGCCGTGCCCGGTGCACGGATGGGCCCGCGAGTGGGAGAGGAATGCAGTGGTGCCGGGGGGGCTCCCGGCCGGAGAATGGCCCCAGTGTGGTGGCACTGGGCGGCACTGGGCGGCCCGGCCCCACAATGGGCCCATTGCTGCTGGGGGCCGGTCCTGTGCCGGGGGAAGGGAGCTAAATGCCAGTGCTGTGCCAGGCGCCCGGCTGCCTCCTCCGCGGGGCTCAGCTGTCCCCGAGCCAAGCCGAGAAGGGGGAGGCGAAGCCGCTTGGTGCCCCCGAACGGGGCAAGCGCCCGGCCGCAGGCTCCGGCGGCGACGGCAGCGCGTGCCTGAGCCGCGGTGCCCATGGGGGACGCGGCGCCGGGGCCGGGCGGGCCGCGCGGGCAGCTGGATGTGCTCCCCTACAGTGCAGCTCCTCAAGTCGGCGGACCTGGGCCGGCAGAGCCTGCTCTACCTCAAGGAGATCGGGCACGGCTGGTTCGGGAAGGTGAGTGCAGCCCGTGCCCTGTACCCACCCTGCCGAGTGCTCGCGTGTCCCGTCGGGATGCCGGGGTGCCGGCAGCTCCGTGGCAGTGCCGGTGACGCAGGAGGGGACATTTCTGCAGGTGTTCCTGGGTGAGGTGAACTCGGGCATCAGCAGCACACAGGTGGTGGTGAAGGAGCTGAAGGCGAGTGCCAGCGTGCAGGAGCAGATGCAGTTCCTGGAGGAGGCGCAGCCCTACAGGTAGGCACCGTGCTCGCCGTGCCGCAGCCCCTGCGCCCCGGCCCGGCCGTGCGCGCCTTGCTGGACCCGCAGGGCTGCGGCGGGTGCCAGTGAGGTCATGGGCTGCCACCCCCGCCAGCGCTGAACAAGTGTGCCATTGTGGCGGGCGCTGGGACGCGGTGGTACCGTCCCTGGGTGCTCCCGGCGCTCTCTGCGGTCCAGGCGATGGGAAGGTCTCCTGGTGGTGCCATCTCCGCCGCGGTCCCCAACATGTGGTCCCCAGCGTGTGGTCCCCAATGTGGGGCACTGCTCTCTGCCCCCGCAGGGCTCTCCAGCACACCAACCTGCTGCAGTGCCTGGCCCAGTGCGCCGAGGTCACCCCGTACCTGCTGGTCATGGAGTTCTGCCCACTGGTGAGTGCTGTGCGCCCCGCGAGCATCACCCGCACCCTGCGAGTGTTGCACCACCCCGCGAGCATCACCCTGCGAGCTTTACGTCAACCCGCGAACATCACCCTGCAAGCATTGCTGCATGCTCCATGAGCATCACCCTGCAAGCATTGCTGTGCCCTCCACAAGCATCGCCCCGTGGGCATTGTGCAACATCACCCCATGAACATTGCATGGCATCGCCTGGTGGGCATTGCATGGCATCACCCTGTGAGCATTGCATGGCATTGCCCCATGAGCATTGCATGGCATCTCCCTGTGAGCAGCATCCTACCAACATTGCAGCGCCCCATGCCCATCCCACCACAAGCATCTCCCCATGCCCATCCCACCACAAGCATCTCCCCATGCCCATCCTGCCACGAGCATCTCCCCGTGCCCATGGGCTTTGCTGGCTGCGGAGCTGTCCGGGGCTGACGGCAGCCGCTGCCCTGCAGGGTGACCTCAAGGGATACCTGCGGAGCTGCCGGGGCGCCGACTCGATGGCGCCGGACCCGCTGACGCTGCAGCGCATGGCGTGCGAGGTGGCGTGCGGCGTGCTGCACCTGCACAGGAACAACTACATCCACAGGTACCCGCCGCCCGCGCCGCCGCCCGCGCCGCCCCGCCGCCTGCTCCTCCTGCCCAACAATATCCTGGTGCTGAGTGAGTTGCACACGGAGACTCCAGCATCAGTGATTTTGTTGAGGAGGGGGCGCGCTGCCATCGGGGGCCGTCGCATCCTCCCCACCGCCCGGTTCCGCTAGCGAGTGCCTGCGGGGCATCCAGGGGTGCAGGGTGGGAGGTTTCCATTGGGAATCCCCAACCCGGGACACCTGCATCCCGCTGTGCTCCTTGGAGCCGGCTGGTGTGGGCGCCGTTCCCCGCTGCAGGGCTGGAGCGCGGCCGCCTCCGTGCCCGCGTGGGCGCCCGCCCCAAGCCCAGCTGCACCGCTAGGAAATGCCAGGGCTTAGGTTTCCCGGGCAACCTCCGTTCTGCTTGGCTCAGCGCTCCGGCCGGGAGCGGCGCAGCTGGAATTCCTGCTGTGCATTCGGCTCACGGGCAGGGCCCGCGCGGGCGGCTCCTCCGCCGCCCCGGCCGCCCCGCCGGAGCCAGTGCCGCCGTCTCTCCCCGGCAGCGACCTGGCCCTGCGCAACTGCCTGCTCACTGCTGACCTCACCGTGAAGATCGGCGACTACGGGCTCTCGCACTGCAAGTACAAAGTAAGGCTGCTTGGGGGGCTGCGCGGGGCTGCCGGGGTTGCTGGCACGGGGTGGTGCGGGGAGGCTGGCGCCTGGCGCTGCCCCGTGCGCGCTGCACAGAGCCGGGTGTGCGCCCACGCACGGGCACGGCGCAGGGCCGGGCACGTAGGCACATGCACGCGGCGCTGCCCGGAGCCCTGCACGTACACACAGCGCCCAGGGCCGAGCCCGAGCGTGTGCGCAGAGCTGTGTGCACAGCGTGTGTGTGCACTGTGTGTGTGTGCACAGTGTGTGTGCGCAGAGCTGTGTGCACAGCGTGTGTGTGCACT